ATATAAATGTCTGGATAGTTTTTTTTTTTTTCCATTTCAGAAAAAAATATCACTGGGATTTTGAATGGGGTTGCATTGAATTTGTTTATCACTTTGGGTAGCATGGACATTTTCACAATGTTGATTCTTCCAGTTCAAGAGCATGGGATATCTATCTTTCCATCTTCTTGTGTCCTCTGTTATTTCTCTCAGCAGTGGTTTGTAGTTCTCATTATAGGTATTTTTCACATCTTTAGTTAACTCTATTCCTAAGTATTTTGTTTTTTTAATGGCTATTGTAAATGAGCAATATTTCTTGATTTCTCTTTCTGCATGTTCACTATTGGAGAATAGAAATGCTACTGACTTTTTTGTGTTGATTTTGTATCCTGAAACTTTGCTGAAATCATTTATCAACTCCAAGAGTTTTTTTTTTTTGTTTGTTTGTTTGTTTGTTTGTAGAGGCTTTAAGCTGTTCACTATATAGGATCATATCATCTCCAAAGAGGGACAGTTTGGCTTCTTCTTTTCCAATCTGGATGCCCTTTATTTCCTTCTGTTCTCTGATTGCTCTGGCTAGTACTTCCAACAGTATGTTGAATAACATTGTTACAGATACAAGAAAAGAAAGCTCATTTAAACAAAGGAAAACAATGTAGAAATTGACATAAACAATAATGCATTTACAAAGATAGTGTTAATAGTACATATGAGCAGGTACCGAAAGAAGAGATGTAGTTTAGGTATGCACAGCAAAGGTGAAAAAATGGGCCTTTCAGTGAGAGCAAAGACACTTTCAGCGAATGGGACCAGGACTTAGAAGTACAGTTTTCAGTGAGAGTAAACATTTCACCCACAATTGATTGTAGAGGAAGCATGAAGGTAAGGAGAAAAAATAATTTTAGAGAAGAGGTTTAACTCAGAAAGTCTACTATTCATAAGAGTCGTTTTCAAAAGATTATATATGTACATAAATAGAGAGAGAACACCAATTATTGTCTAAGAATTATTCTATGCTCATTGTACATAGTCCCAACATTTACAATGAAATTTTCCTAAGATTCCTTAAAAATAATTATTCTTTTCTCTATTTATCAGATGGCATAGAATGCAAAATTCCATAACATTGGACATTGCAATAACAACCAAATTAAAAATGTTAATCATAATAACACAAAACAAAAAATGAAAAAAAAATATATATCCATGTATGGAACTCCAGTCTGCACACACAGTTTGTAATGATGTTATTTTCATTATAAAAATAACATAAATTAGATTTTTTTTAAAATAGCAGCTTCCATTGAATATACTGAAATAAAGTGTGACAGTATGAGTTCTTCATTAGACTTTTGAAGATTCTACAGCAGAATAAATGTGTGTGTCTTAATAGTGCCACTACCCATATATATTTAAAACATTATAGATTGAAGAAAAACAAAGAAGCAGGCTGCACATTTTGAAGTATATTCGATCCTACCCTTTTAAATTTAAAATCACAAAGTTAAATGAATCAAAAAAGAGTCTTTTATGACTACCTCACTCATTCTCTTCTGTCTGTGCTAAAGTGGCAACTTGTCTAGTAATTTCTCACCGAACTTCCATTTCAGAACTCGGAGTCTTGCTAATAACATCTTCTCTAAGAATATAATTTGGAGTCCACCACTTTTCTGAGTGTTTCTTTCACGTCCCTGTTCCTCAGGCTATAGACCAGGGGGTTCAACATGGGAATCACTACAGTGTAGAGCACTGTGGCCACTTTGTCAGCATCCCCACCATTGCCTGAACTGGGTTGGCAATAAATAAAAAGGATTGTTCCATGGAAAACAATGATGGCTGTGAGGTGGGAGGCACAGGTGGAAAAAGCTTTTTGCCTTCCCTCTGCAGAGCTCATCCTCAGGATGGTGATGAGAATAAACAAGTAGGAGGTAAGGATGATCACAATGGCCATGATCTCAGTGAAAGTGGCCACAATGAAAAGCAGAACCTCATTCAAAGTGACATCAGAGCAAGCAAGACTTAAGAGAGGGGGGAGATCACAGAAGAAGTGGTTAATCACATTTGATCTACAGGATGGGATCTCAAGAACTAAGCACAAGTGAATTAGAAAACACACCAATCCACAGACGTAGCAGCAAGACACCAGCTCTCCACAGACCTTCTCAGACATGGATACCATGTAGAGCAGTGGATTACAGATGGCCACAAAGTGGTTATAGGCCATCACAGCCAGGAGGAAGACCTCAGTGACTGCACATGTGCAAAACAAGTAGAATTGCACCATGCACCCCAGGTAGGAGATAGCTTTGTCCTTGTTTAAAATATTAGCCAACATCTTTGGCACAATGGTTGAGGAGTAACAGAAATCCACAAAGGACAATTGGTTGAGGAAAAAGTACATGGGGGTGTGGAGTCGAGAGCTGACTCGAATCAGTGCAACCATGCCTAGGTTGGCCAAAACTGTGACTCCGTAGATGAGAAGGAACAGCAGGAAGAGGAAGACTCTCAGCTCAGGGTCATCAGATAATCCAAGGAGAATGAACTTTGTCACAGTGCTGCAGTTCTCCTCACCCGTGTCCCCACTTTATTTGTGGTTGGAGGAAAAACTTAAAAATCATTTCCACTACATGACCTAAAATTTAGTATTGGCACTCTTCTTTAAAAAGAAAATAGAATAAATAAGATAGTTAATTTTATCAGCCAAGAATAGGACTTTATTTATGTAAAATTTAAGTTCAGACATTGTATAATTACAGATGCATAAACTCACAGTTTAATGCAACGATCATACAAAAACGTTAACATTTATAAGAACTTATATATTTTTTAAAAGTTTTCTTTCACAATTGAGATCTTGGCACTGATTTTTGAGGAAAGTGATTAAAGTATCATGTAATTAGCCCTTTTGATCTAATAAATTCAAATCCTATTTTGGGATGGAGAAGACTCTTTAATTGAAACTCCTATTATTGGGTTCTTCAGAAATAATTTTTAAACTATGTATTACTCTTCTCTAAGTTTAACACTGAAATGCTGAGAGATATGCTTATTTGAGTTTGTTAGCCCACAAGTGTATATGTTTTATACACAGATATTATGTGAAGAAAGTAGTTTTTATATTCTAACTTAGCAATTTTCTATAAAATTAGTATAGTTACCTTTTTATTTATAATCTCAGTATTGGACTTGGTTTAGGATATTTTTATTGTTGAGTACAATCTTTCTGTAACTATGACTCTTCACCCTTTAGAAAGATCTATTTGGTAGATAAATTTAATGCTTTGCTTTTATTTGGAGAACTGATTAAAGATGTGCATTGAAAATTATTTTAAAAAATTCCCACTGGTGCATTTCAGCATTATTGATAATATTAACATTTAGAAGTAGCATCAAATAAGGGGAGAATTGTCAAATTTATGATGCACTTGTCATGGAAAATATGCAGATATTAAAATGATCATTTTAAATAATGTATAATGACATGAAAAATGACTGTGATAAAATGCAAAGTTAAAAAAAGTAAGTCATGCATACAGGTGGAACACTACAAATACACACATTAGTTGCATTGTATTTTCAATTTAACAACATCAATAAACATAAATATTTTTATCCTCTATTTGTTTTAAAAAGGAAATCTTTAAATGGCTCATTTCTTACAAAACTTAAGTACTATGAGGCAGAGTGGGAGAGGAGGATGGAAATTTTTTAATGAGACACACGTACCTTCGAGGCTATTAACACATAACAAGTGCAAAGAGAGTGTTTAATTCTCACAACATCAAAAAACATAAATGTTTTTATTCATGTTATGCTTCAGAAAAGAAATCTATAAACTTGCTTGAATTCTCAGGTAACATAAATATTATAGGGTGAAATGGTGTGTGGAATTTTTTTTAATGAGAGACACATACTTTCAAGGCATTTGACACATCACAAGTACAAAGGGATCGTAAGAATCCTCTCTTTTACTCTCTCTCCCTGATCCTTGGCAAATATATACCTGACTACAGAGGCACCAAATGGATATTTCTGGAAGAGAGAGAATATGGCTTAGAGACCAACACAGCCAGGTATTTTTCCAATATTTCAACTAATTTGAAATATATACAGGATATGAACATTACTAATTCCCATTTTGAAAACAAATAATCATTCTGATGACAAGTTTTTCTCTCTTCAAATGGCCAGGAAAAGTGAGTTATTTGTCCTCCCTTGAATTCAAAGCAGTGTATAAGCTTGAAAATCCTTTCTTGTTTTCAAGTCTAAAGATGAAAAATCAGGCTGTTAGTTGCTCAGAGCAGTGCTTTTTATCAGGAGGGACCTTGATCTCAATGGGATATTGTTAATGTCTGGAGGCATTTTTTGGTTGTCACAACCCAGAGGGGGTGCTGTTCACATGCAGTGGGGATGCTGCTAAACACCGTCCAGTGCACATGACAGTCCCAAGCTGACCCCACCCCCACCTGCAACAAACATAAGAAAACACTATCTGGACCAAAATGTCGGTAGTACCCTCGTCCAGAAACCTGCCATCAAGAGACATTTCAGAGTGCTTGCACAAAGCCAAATGAATTTCTCTCCTTTCTCCTATAAAGGTGGCTCACATGTTCATGTCTCTCCATGAACAGTCCCATGGGCATTTAACTGCCACCCTCAGTATCAGGTTGACTGTCAGGAGAATTTCCATGAGGTCTTTGCTAGGTTGCATGGAGGGGGTTAGTGTGAGAGAGGAAGAAGAGAAAAGGAGAGAACAAGCCTCAATCCCAGTTTGTTCACTCTGTTCTCCCTCTCACAATAACAGCAGCTACAGGATATTTTCATAACTGAGTTCTCAAAGCTTGGCAGTTCTTAAAATATTCTCTAATTAATTGGAGAGTTTTTAAATCTCTATTACTACAACTCTTTACAATTCCTTCTTCTGCATATGACTGTGATGAATTATATCCATGAGTACGAAAAATCAAGTTTTCAGCCCCCAGAGAATATTACTGATGTCCATCGAAAAACAAAAAAATACACCACAAAGTACAGCCAAACCACCAACCTGTGGGATAGTCATTGCTTCCCCTGTTTCTGTAGATGCTGTGTTGGAAAACTGTTATAGGTTTTATGTTTGCATTTGTGTATCCCTGGGGCCCATGTTCTGCAAGGTTCCCTGAACAATCATTGATCTCTGTGGAATATCAACAAGATATCAAGAAAATTACCTTATCTTGGGACTCAAACAGTTATTGATCATTATGGTATATAAGCGGGAGGGGGTGGCTATCCAACATTGTACATATTAGAAAAATCTCACACAGTTACATCTAGAGTTTGTGATGAACCATAAATCTATTTTCATAGAAAAGAATGGCATTGGACATCTATTCTAGAGAATATAACCAGTACATATTGTCTATGCAGCATGATATGTATGTAATGTACATGTGTGTGTTTGTGTATATATATGCACATGAGTATATATTGTATACTATACATACTGAAATATACAGCAGGTTGTTGAAAATATCTATTTAATACCTATTTTGTTCTTAGTGAATGTCAAACTACTGTCACAAAATGCATTCTTCTTGAAGGAGAGAGTCTCATGATAGAAAAGACAG